ATAATAATAATAATAATTCATTTTATTTGTATAGCGCTTTTCAAGAACTCAAAGACGCTTCACAGGATAAAAGCAAAGCAATAAAAGCATTAAACAACAAGCAACAAATACAAAGATAGACAATATAGAAATACAGCAAATGGCGGGGAAAAAAAAACAAAACAAAAAAACCCAGTAAATATCGAGATAGAGCCGAGGCCTAGGTGGGAAAAGCGGAGCAGATGAGTTTTTAATTTACATTTAAATATTACTGGGTCTGAGGTGTCCTGAATATGTTGTGGGAGGGAGCTCCAGAGGGTGGGGGCGGCGACAGAGAAGGCCCTGTCCCCCCAGGTCCGGTGCTTGGTCCTGGGAACGATCAAGAGGTTTGAATTTTGGGAGCAGAGGGTCCATGAAGGGGTGTAGGGGTGGAGCATGTCACTGAGGTAAGAGAAGCCTGATTATGGAGCACTTTGTGGGTGAGTAGAGGGATTTTGAAGTTGATACGAAATGGGATGGGAAGCCAGTGAAGGTTCTGAAGAACAGGGGTGATGTGGTCTCGGGAGCGGGTGTGGGTGAGGAGGCGGGCGGCAGAGTTTTGGATGTATTGGAGTCTACTGAGGAGGTTGGAGGTGGTACCGTAGAGGAATAAAACCAATGCAGCATGGTTGAAAAACTGTATACAGAGCAACCAGTTGTTGGATGACGCATTCAGCACGATGAAACATCTGTCTGATGTGTGGCATAGCAGTGAAGAGAGGTTGTAAAAAGGTAAATAGTTAAATATCGAGAGTATGTAGAGCTACCTTTTTATTTGTCAGTGTCAGTAACACCTGTGGGTTCTTGAAAAAATGCATATGCTAATTCTAGTTGTTTTATTTTTTTTACGTTTTGTAAATTAAGTAAAGTAATTAGCTGTCTTTTTATGGTTTATGGCATTATATATATATATATTTTTTTGATGTTACACAGAAGACCTTTCTCTCTGTTTCTTTTTATATCTCAGTGAAAAATAAACCCACAGTGCAGAAAAAATGTGACAGGAAATATTGAATTATTCCTCCTTTGAATGTTCGTCTTAGTGCTCTGATATAATTCTGGTATAATTGTGGCCAAACCTGTTTAAAGCTAATAAAAATAAACGTTTCTACTGGATGACATTGTTTTGTTCCATCTGAATCCATTTTACTGTAACTATATTCTGAGCAGCCTGTGTTTACTGCTGTTTGCATGACTGATTGCGGGTGTATAATCAGTTTTCACAGCTCCAGTGGTGAGAAAAGAAAAAAAAAAAGATGAAATCATAATTTAATCAAAAGTTTTTTGTGTGTCTTTGTTTTATAAAAGTAAAGTTTGGTCTTCTAGGTCACCTTTTCGGTCATAAAAGCACTTAATCACCAGTGGAAGTCCACTTTATGAGGTTGCTCGCAGGAAAAATGGCTTTCACGAGTCTCAGCCATAAATCTGGGATGAATCCAGGCCACCAGGACGGACGGCGTCCTCTCCTTGAACCCGTTAAGACGCTCTGTCTGGATCACTGACTTACCTGGGCTGCTCTTATCATTCGCGGGTCTCTGATTGACAGATGAACTGTCTGGTGAAGTGCCTCGAAATGCCACGGCATTATCAGGGGCGCCCTAATAATGCCTTATTTCTACTTCTCGTGGCATTTTTTGAACTCCAGAAAGTGACTCTTTGTGTCTGTGTGTGTGTGCAGGATCGGCTCCTGGGCCTCCATGTTCAGCGTCATCCCGACCATCTGCTTCGGCTTCCAAGTGAGTGCGACTGTTTGAAATGTATTCGTGTAAGACCGTCTGAGACTTTGGTTAACATGTGTTTGCAGCATCATGCTGGTGTAAGGCTGGAGGCCGCCGAGCACGCAGCTGTCTGTGGAGGAGGAATTATACATGGATGCTTCACACCGTGCAGCTTTGACTGGTAGTAAATGGATGCGACCACACGGGGAAGTGATTTACAAGTGAGAAGTGAAGCGTGTCTCCATTTGATCTTAAATGATGGTTTTTCCATATTTAAAAAAATGAAGTTCCCTCAGAATCAGCTGATATTTTTTAAACGGACAGTCACTTTAGTATATTTAATGAAGCCGTGCAAAGTTTTACCTTCAAACTCTGAATATTTTCAGTTACTGTCCTTGAAGTTCAGAGTGGTGGGCTGTAGTTTTGCGCTTTTTAATTTGTGTTACTTTTTCCAGCGTTTATGAATCATCCAGGTGCCAAAACTTGTTTATAAGCTTCAATGTCACAGATATTAAACTGCTGCAGTTTTTCTGTTGAAACTCTGATATATTCCTTGATATCGATGCTCAGAGTTGGTAATAGCAAAACCCACCTGGAGTGGATGTAACCAAGTTTGAGCATTAATATTATGGGATGTATCAGAGTTTCAACAGCAAAACTACAACAGTTTAGAGTCACAGGAACAAGCATTAGTACCCCAAATGTGTTTCTGTTTCAGTTTGGCCAAAATAAGTCAAAAATGACAAACAAATGTCCAAAATTAGTCAAAAAAATTGTCTAAGACACCTCAAAGTTATACAAATTGCCTCAAAATCTTTTTAAAAAATGATAAAGTTACACAAAATGACTCATAATGTTCCAAAATGACTGGGAACTTTTCCAAAATAATAATAAATATAGTGAAACATTTACAAAGAAAGGTAAAAACTGGCCTAAATGACTCAAAAATGGTCCAAAAAGACTCAGAGCTCGATCAAAACGTCATAAATCCATCTAAATGTATCAGAAACATGCCGTGATTGAGTTAAAACTGAACCAAAATGAATCAAAACTTTGCCATAAATTTTACAACCAGTTTTGAGCATCAATATTATGGGATGTATCATAGCTTCAACAGTAAAACTGCACCAGTTTAATGTCGATAACAGAAACAATCACTGCTACCCTGGATGTGTTTCTGTTTTCTAGTAATTCACTGGAAGAATCTTTAAAAAGGTGCATTATGGGTAACGTTTGAGGCTCATATCAGCATGTGTAATAGGTGGTTGGTCAGAACAAGCTCGAGCAAATGAAAGGTCTCATTTTTAGCTGCATTTTGAAACCAGGCTCATCTTCTGGTCACGAATCCTTTCTGTGTCAAACCAATTTTCTGATGTAATCATATTTTAACACTCCTGAATGTCGCCTATGACTGTGAAATGAAGGAAGATGATGTGCAATCCTGGAATCCAACACTTCCGTCTCTTCGTCTCTGCCGTGATGTCCGACCGTAATGATTGTGAAGCGGTGATTTTTAAAGTAAAATGGTTGCCAATGTTGCTTTAACCATTTAGCTGCAGCCTGATTTGCACAACGTTTGAATCAAAAAGAAACTTTGGCCAACAGCTGCTAACGCTGGAGGAGGAAGTTCAGTTTCAGGCATCAGTGAGGATGCAGAGCTCAGCGCTGTTCACTGAATTACTGCCAAATGTTTGTAGCTTCGCCTGGCGAGAGATTTTGGACAGACATGTGTGGAAAGACTCTGTTAGCGATCTGCTGCCTGTCAGCTGCGTATGAAGACTGATATTTCATCCCGCTAACGTTTATGGTTGTTAATGCGTAGCTACGTTTACTCCTAAATTTATCCTGCTCACCAAGATCAACACAAAGGCTGCAGATGCCAAACAGAACCGTGTGGAGATGGTTCCAGAGCAACAACACAGTTTATTTTAAAGGTTCTCGGTGTAACATTTAGAAAACCCTTGTTGTTAATGACACTAGTGGCCGTAAAGTAAACTGCAGCAACACGTTGCTCGTGCTTGCAATTCGTAGATAGAAGCTAAACCATATTTGAATTTAGTAATATCGATTTCTAGTAATGAAGGAGACCAATACCTGATATTTGGTACCATTTGCTGTTAAAATGAACATCTTGGTGCTGACGTTGACCTCAGTTTTCCCTCAGTGTTCATCACATTCCCATTTGGCCAGACTGGCTTCACTCAACTTGTGGAGCTTGTGTTGGAGTCTGTGGGAGCTTGTTGGAGTTTGTTTACCACATTTTGTGAGTAGAAACGTCTCGTTCTTTGGATTTTACCAAAATTCGCCCCGGGTCTATTAAGGCCAGGAAAATCTTAGTTGGCTGAAGTTAAACATACTCTTCAATCAGCTGATTGGTGATGGGAAAAACTAAATAAATCTACAATATCTCTAGATGACCTAAATGAGCCACAGCACACTGACCTGCTCTCTACCTGCAGCCTTAGTAGCCCTTTTTAATTCTAGATCAACATAAAAAGCTAGTATTTGCTGCATATTTAATCATGTTAACCTGGTTATTTCATGCTGTACAGACTCGGAACAGACCGTCGAGTCCCTGCCAATAGTCATTCTGAAAATATATCAACTGGTGATCCAGCAGCAAGAACTACTGACAAATGTAAACACTGACAAGTTTGCTGCTGTTTTTACATGATCTGGCATGTTGGTTGTTGAGCTGTGATAAACAAACTGTTGTTTCTAGAAGTTACGCTCCACCTTCAGGCCATCAGTTTGAACAAAATGCAGCAACACCGACGACCTCTTTGCCTTGGTGTCAGTTAATTTGGAACCGAGCGACTCTGAGTAAATGTTCAGTGAACTTCAAATAAGTTAGCAAACTCCATTAGGTTGGACCAGTGTTCACAGCAGTCTGTTCCTTCTGCTGCCAAGTGTAATTCACAAGTAGTCTGCTCCTCCTGCCAGCGAAAATAATGGATCTACCATGGAAGTTGTTGATGTGGAGCTTTTCTCCTCATAAAAGTAACACCAAAGATTAGTTGATGAATGACAGTTTGGTCTGATAGGAGCATTTCAACCAACAGAATCGACCAGGAAGCTACAACCTTAGAGTCCCTTTACGTAGCAATCAGTCTACAGGCTGTTATGTTACAATACTTTCACCCATTGGCATCAAAAAAAGCAACTGGAACATGTACATTTCTTTACAGTTTTAGACAAAACACCCTGAAGTATCTTTTTTCCAAACATGTCAACCCTCTTGTACGCCAAACCCAATGGGAAAAACCATAGAAAAACCAATAAATGGCAGCAAAATGTTAAGATTTACTAAAAATGATGGATGTTTGACTGCATTATTGGACTTTAAATCAAAACGTTACCATAGAACCCTACATCAGAGGGAGAATCAGCCACAGGTTACGCCCCCGACAAATGTTAGGCTTTAACACAGAACAGCTTGACTTTAAAAACACCTACACTGGCATAGATTTTCATATTTACCCCCTAATTATGTTACAGTGGTGGAAAGTACGTATAATTAGAAGACCTACTGCATGAGTTAAAGTGGGTTTTCCATTCACAGCCGCTGTGTTGTGGAGGCAGCAGATGGATTATCTCAAAACCTGAGCAAATATAAAAAAGAAAACGTCTTTTAGAGTTTGGTTTCATCTCGAGCTCCGGCGTATTAGTGTGTCAAGAGTGACGGCAGTTATTGAATGGTAGGTTTCCTCAATAATCTTTAGGGCTTTCTTGGCAGAGTGTGTTTAACTGCAATGTAAAGGTCAGCGGGCCGACGCTCGCTGCGCTCGGCGGGAGCTCCGCAGAGCGAGCTTTTCATATTTAATAGCAAAGGTAGAGTGCGTGGAAAAAGATCATTCTGTCAATCCGAAGCAGGACGGGCTGATGTGTAACTCCCCAAGTTGCCAAGGTAACCCCTGAAGGCTGCTGGCGGGATCTAATAAAAGGCGGCCAAAGTGCGAAGGGATTGATGCATGTCCTCTCAATACACACACACACTCTCCCTCCGGGTGAATGATTGCAGTGCGAAGGGGTTGAAAAGAGAGCTGATGAGATCCTGAGAGGTGGCGCGGGGGCAGGAGAGGCAGATTTAAAGCCAGGTGACGGCAGCTGGGATCAAGTGGGGACAAGAGTGTGTCTCCTGGAATCTGTGATGGTTTAAGTCGGCCCAAGTTGCGCCTCCATTTAATTCCCGACCTCCAGTCCATCACACCGGCAGAAAGATCAGAGATAATAAGACCTCTGGATCTTCAGGCTCCCCAGCAGATGAGAAAAATCTCATGTTGGCCGAAAAGAGACTCGCGCAATCTCCGGTTTAATGTGACCGCTGCTGTCACCTTCAACCAGAAAGACACAACTAGGACACCAAGTGAGATGAGTTTCTGCTCTGTGCTTGTTTCAGTGTCACGAGGCGTCCATCGCCATCTACAGCAGCATGGAGAACCAGCGGCTCTCGCACTGGGTCTTCATCTCCGTGGTCTCCATGATCTTCTGCCTCATCATTTACTCCCTCACAGGTCAGAAGAGTTTGTGTTTAACACTCTGCTCATGATCACCTTTTCCCCCTTCATCTGTAGAGTTGCTTGTTTTCGTTTCTGTCCTGACAGTTTAAAAGCTTTTACACCCACATTTTCATTCACTATGTAATCATTTACGAACACGGATAGTCTGATAAACCAAAACGTCTCTACGGATAATATATGGCTCCATATTTAAAAAGGCTTGTCTGTTAATTCTCCCACTTTTGCAGAACATTACCTTTCAATATTTATATTTTACTCCTGTTGTGTCTACAGTGTCTGATTCTGTTCTAGTTGCATGATTACAGTGTCTA